GACAACCAAAACAGGGCTGAGTTGGGTGGGGGAGGCTATGGCCTGAGAGTTTCCCTACTTGTCACCAGTGAGATTCTGATGGGCTCCATTTTAAGGCCATTTCTCTTTTATGTTTTCACCATTGATTCCAATAAAGATCTGGAAGTTTGTCACTGTTTTATGATTTTTTGTTATTGGTATTCCAATCATAACATCATGTAGTGCTCTGTGAGTTCAAGAGTTAATGCTCCAGTTCCAGAGGGCTGTAAGGACAGTGAAGGGTCTTGAGGGCAATACACTGGAGGAATGTCTGAGGGCTGTAGGTTTGTTGCTCTCAGAGCAAAGTAGGCTGCGGGGAGCCCTCAAGGCAGCTGCAACTCCTCACAGGGAGCAGAAAGCAGTGCTGAGCTCTGCTCTCTGGTAGCAGCAACAGGACCCAAGGGAACGACATAGAGTTGCATCAAGGGAGGGTCATGGAAAGGTGGGGGTATGGAAAGGGTCTGCACCAGAGGGGCAGTGGGCATAGAACAGGCTGCCCAGGGTAGTGGGCACAGCCCCAAGCTGCTGCAACTGAACAACCATTTGCATTTGAATGGTCCCTTTGGAGTCAGAGGTTGGACTTGACCATCGTTGTGGGCCCCTTCCAACTCAGGATATCCTGTGATTCTACAGTTTCAATATTTATCTTGTTATGTAATTAATACTCTGTACCAAGCTTGGTATTTTGGCTGCACCCTACAAAATGCCTCATACAACTTGAGAATTCAAAACACATCTTTCCAGGTCCTTCTTCAAATTCCTATTTATCTTGAAGACACTGTAGAACACTTCGATTTTGAGAGCCTTTACTGTAAATGTATTGTACCAGTCCAATCATTTGCAGATAGCTTTGGAAACACTATGACAAGCACACTGGCCACTAACATAGCCACATAACTATTTATATGCTATGATACTTGGAAACCCTTCTCACAAAACAGAAGTCTACGCTGCAGGGCACTGTAGAGAGGAAGGCTATTTTTATCCTTAACAGCTTACATTCAGTATAAGGCAGAAAAAGTAAAGGAATAATGACATATGGACAAAGATATAAGGAAACTCAGACAATATCTTCACAATAGACTATACTTTTGAACACCGGCAGTTCATCTCAGCTTCATGTGATTGTCACCTTGACTAACCAGCTCCATAGAATAAGAGGGAAACATGTATGCTCTGAATCAACAACACCCAACAGTGGCAACAGACCTTTATGAGGTCTTCAAACCAATTGCTCAAGCAGCACTTCAGTCACAAAAGATCAACATGAGACTGTCAGCAGTAACTGATGTTTCCTTCTGTTACTTTGAAAGGCTATGCTCATACTCATTTTCTGCTGAAAATGAATCTTTAATTTGACACGTGCATGAATGAAAATAGCAGTTCTTTCAAGAAAAAGGGAATAAATAGTCTCATTCATTCATCCTCACCACCATCTTGATCACTTATCATTTACAGATATTTAAAAGGAAAAATTTCCAGAACTACTATAAATCAAATACTACTCCTAGAAATTACTTTATCTACAATCCTGTCTACACTAGACAACCATATTTAATGCAAATATTATACATAAGTACATAAATACCTTCTGTTTTTGCTGGAGCACTATTAAAATAGATTCCTAGAGCTCTGCAACTTGTAAGAACCTGTTTTAGAAAGTCCTCATGGGAACAATTAAAATTTCAAAGTTTCATAGAACTCAGTGTCAGTGAATTTTTTTTTTAAATCACTATATAACACAAAAGAGACTAGCAAAAAGACAAGTGACTGATGCAAAGGAAAAAAAATAAAAAGTAAGAGTAAAGTGAGGAAAAACATACTTGGGGATGTCTGAAGACATTCATTTTGAATAGGTATGCTTGGTTCTTTCACTACTTTTAAAGCTCAAAAGAAGAAGGAAAGAAGAGAAGAAGAAAGGAGAAGGAAAGAGAGAAGGACCTGAGGGTCCTGATGGATGAAAAACATAATATGAGCCAGCAGGATGCTCTTGCAGCTCGGAAAGCAAATAGTATCCTGGGCTCCATCAGAAGAGGGGTGGCCAGCAGGGACAGGGAAGTGATTCTCCCTCTATACTCTGCTCTTGTGAGGCCCCATCTGCAGTACTGTGTTTATGTCTGGAGCCCCCAGTACAAGAAAGACAGAGAGCTGTTGGAGAGTCAATACAGTAAACTTAAAGGGGAAATTACTGGTTTGTGGATTTACTGCAACAGACTTTTCATTGAAGAAAAGAAAAGGAGATCAGTAAAAACTAATTTGTTCAAAGCGTTTTCAAGAAAGGACTACCAAAGGGACTTCATAGAAATAGGTTCTAAAAGTAATAAAAGGAGACTTGAAGGTAAGTGGAACTATTATTGCTTATAACCCTGACAGATTCCATAGAGATGTCAATCAACGGAAATATTCAGTGGGAGGGTACTAACACCTTGCTCTCAGCTGTGACTCACTCTGAAAGTAACATTTATGTTCTTAGCAACCTCATTCACTAGAAAGTTGTCTTTCTAACTGGATTTTCTATATATTGGCAATTCATTGTCTTGGGACACTAGAAGAAATAAAGGCCCCCTTGTTGTTTTATTTAATAACAGGGAACATAACTGTATTAAAAATGAGTAAAGGAAACCTTTGTGTACACAGGAGAGAAGGTAGAAAAAACAAGAATTTATGTTTCCTGTTCCCAAAAATAATTTTAAAAGAAACAAACATTGCCTTTCTAGTTCAACAGCCATTTCAACAGAAACTGTAACATGCAAAGAAAAGCAGTCTCAATTTCAGTTAAAAATTTCACTGATGATGCTTACTCTAATAAAACTTGGTTGATGCACCGTATCCTTTAGCACACTTATTTTCAGAACTTCAATCTTTGTAAAGTGCTGCAAATGCATGATTTACTGTAGTTTACACACATTATAAATGCTTTTGCTCAGGATGACACTCATTCTCTTATGTCTGACATTACTGGTTGACCACTAGTACAAGAATCTCTTGAAAACAATCCACACAGATGCATGAAAAAAATCCTCCACCCACTAATATGCTGCTTTACAATCAGAAATATTTGAATCCTTAAAAAGTCTTCAGAGACCAGAGTTACTCTCCACAGTTTAGAATCAGGAATAGTTTCTTTCACAAGTTCTTGCCAAAAAGGTTTTACATATTGTATAATCAATGAATATACAGGTGTTATAATTAAGAAATATACTGGCTAAGCAGGTTATTACACCGAAAAAGGATAGAGGGCTTACCCTTGTCCTGGGCTTGCTGGAAAACTGGAGATCTTCTGGAGAGATCTCCAGAAAGAAAACCTTCCCTTCCCTTGCCTTCACCTGTACTCCGTGGCTGACTCATTGCTCGCCTCAGGTGACCAATCAGAGATTCAGGCCATGATTCAGTTCCCATACACGTATCAACAACCAAAGTTTAATAAACAGTCCCCCACATCAGCCTGAATTCTTAATTAAGTAGAAACTTACAACTGAAAAAAACCCTTTACATACAGTCTCATAATTTATCATTCACCTCCTGTGCACAAATGTCATGATAGTTCTGAAATGCAAATGAAACCTGAACTTTAAGTTCAACATGTAGTTCATTATTTAGGTATTTTCAACAAAAAAGTGTGCGACAATTATTATGGCTACTCTAATTCTCACTGGCTTTCAAGAAATTTAAAATAATACAGTGACTTCCAGACTAAGGAAGTTCTCACAAGGCAACACAATAAAACTAGACTACATCACTTTGATCTCTCCAAATCCATCTCAAACTTGCTACATCCCTTTGCACTGTCAGTTGATAGCACTTCAAGTACATATAAGTAGCTGCACATCTTGAACATAGTACTTCATATACAATTTCATTGTTTTAGTTAAAACTTATCATTGATCGACTAATATGGTAAGCCTGTATGAAGCTAACGTAAAAAGCACTCAGTTTGCAGACAAAAGCATCTGACAGGTGAAAACCACTTAACCATTCCATATGAAATTCTTTCAACTTAGTATCATATTTAAGATCTCCCAGATGCAAACAATTTCACCACTTAAGTTTTGTAAAGAGAGTGTGAAACAGTATACCCAAATTGCATATAACACGTGTAGTGTAGACATACCAATGCTACAGCATAGACAGATCTGAGCAAATCCAGATACCAGAAGGAATCTTTTCACAGTACCTTGGCCAAACTAGGCAGCTTGCAATACTTGTCTGGTATCAATACAAAACTGTTTCTGGTGCTACACATTGCCATTCGTAACTACAGCACCTCTACATCACTCCATGAAGCATAAGCACATCTTAAGGAAACACAATACCTCAAAACCACTGAAACAGTGAAAATAACAATGAGGAGGTTTAGACTGAATATAAGAATTTCTTCAGAGGTCAGTCAAGCACTGGAACAGGCTGCCCAGACACATGGTAGAGTCCCCAGCCCTAGTGTATTTAACACACAGGGACATGACACTAAGGGACACAGTTCAGTGATTAGACTCAGTAGGTCAGGCTAACAGCTGGATTTGATGATCATGAAGGTTTTTTCTAACATAATTGATTCTAGAATGATTTTTTACCCTATATACTTACTAGCTCTTACACTAAAGGAAGAGAGCTCTTCACAAATTGATGATATAACCACACATAACTCCCTGTTACTGTTAGTAATTAACACTACTTAACACTCTATGAATGCACAAGAGCAGTATAGAAAAACAAGCACAAAATCGAGAGATTACTTGAATGCTACAGTTTTAACCAACAGATTATTTTGCAGGATTTGTTAAGGTCAGACGTACAGATTCCAGATTTCTACTAGCTTAAATAAAACCTTAATTTGGATGGCAGAATAATTTAGAAGTTTTAAAAGGTGGAATAGTCTCAAAGAACAGCCCTTATTTCTCTAAAGGAGAGTTATCACCACACTGCACAAACTTTTCTGCTGGATAGATAGTAAATCATAGGTGTCAACCAATTATTTAACTCACCTGGCCTGACTGGGGGGATAAACAATTAATGACCTCCTCCACCATCACTGGTATGTGCAATCTTCCAAAGTTTTTGTTTTCTGTACTATGAAGCAACTCTTTAGTTTCACTTTTGTGTGTAGTTTGCTCCGTTAACTCATATTCAGAAAGCTGTTTTGCTGAAGAGTAGATCCTTCTGGACAAAGCAGCTAACTTGACTGGATTCAGTTTTAAGTTGCACAGAAGCAGACACTTGTTAACTTGGTACAGACACTGAGATAACATTTTGGAGTTGATCATCCTAGAAAAACAGATGTTGGGAATTACTTCGATAACTATTTAAAACATTAAGCGTTAAGTGCAAATGCTATAAGTAAAGCACTACATTTCACAAGATAGGAGGCTTTACAGAAATCCCATCTCAGCAAAAAGGCTCTATTTCCAAGAGCTTTCTTTTCACGAGGAATACCTTCATTTCCTTTACATTGCTAGGACTCTATCAGTGTTCAAACATCTTGAGAGAAGCCCCCATTAAATGACTAACCACACTTGAGCACAACCAGAACAGTGGCTCAGCTTTCATATTGTTCCCCTACGTCCTGCCACGCAAAATGAGGCATTTGCTATGAATGGCAGTACTTAAGTTGCCAAGTTTCCTGTATTTCTAGTTGAAATGGGAAAAGACAAATCATGCCACTGGGTTTTTAACACGGTTATGATTAGTGTTACAACCTACACGTGTAGTAAAACTACAACAGAATAATTCAAAGCAGATTAAAAAAAAAAAAGCTGAAGGTTAACATAAGTAAGATATTATTTGCATTTTTATGAGCTCACACCTGTTGTTGTGTCACATCTCATATTCTCTCTTCCCACACGAAAAGAGGCAAAAGGCCCTTTGAATAAAGGCTATGCTAGTTTTATAGCTTTGCATTTGTAAGCACGTGTCAGCCTATAACTCAGAGAACTTCAAGTCCTCTGCAACAAACCCCAACACCTGCATAGAAGCTAATACGGAGATGAGGAGAAGATCAGTGATAATTTAACTCACACTGCCTTGCTCTACGACCCCAGGAGGTAACTTCCCTACCCAGAGCACAGCTCACAGTCACTTATCTATGCAACTGAGGAAACTTTTGTGTGCTTTCTGTTGCAGGATTCAGCAGAAGGCTACAGAGATTATTAGGGGCCTGTAGCATCGCTTTTATGTGGAAAAGTTAACAGAACTGGGGCTGTTGAGCCTAGAGAAGACCGAAGAAGGATCTTATAGTAAGCATCGAGCAGGCCTAGAAGATAGCGGCTCTCCCCTCACAGCCCCTCACACAGCTCCCGCCCGCCAGCCCCGCACAGCACGCACCGCTACAGAAACCGCCCTCGCCTCGCGCTTACCCGCTCGCGCCGTCGCTTTGATGACGTCACGACGGCGGCGGCCAATGGGGGCGCGAGGGGGGGCGGCCGCTGGCGTTTGAATTCGGCGGCCGGGCTGGGCGGCGGTTGGCTCGGATGCGGCGCTGAGGTGAGTGGCCGCCCCAGCGGCACGGTGGGCAGGGCTCGGGGGCTTACCGTGCGGCTTTGTCCGTGATCTGTGTTTACTGTCGGCCCTGGGGTATCTTTCTTCTTTCTAGGATGAAGAGTGAGGCCTGGGGGGTGGCCCTTCGCTAGTATCTGAGCGTTGTGAGGCCTGTAATTCAGATGCGGCCCTGAACCTTCCTGCAGGAGGAGAGAGCTGTCTGCTGCTGCGTGAGTGCTCTGAAGCAAAGGAGAACTGCGGGTGGACCGGTAGCTGTAGTCAGAGGAATCAGCTCTGGCTTTCTCTAGGAAGGGCTGTTTAGCTTCATTAAAGCTGTGTGCTTTTAGGTCATGTTTTCAGGCCAGTTAACGGTGCTTCTCAGAGCTTTATGATGGTTCTTACACTTGACTGAGTGTTGGGCAGGGCTAGCACAGGTGTGTAGTTAAACCCTAACTTATAGTGCAAACGGATGGCTGTGGGGTGACCTCATTGCAGCCTTTCAGTACCTAAAGAGAGCCTACAAACAGGAGGGGAGTCAACTCTTTGAAAGGGTTGATAACAGCAGGACAAGGGGAAATGGTTTTAAGTTGAAGGAGGGAAGATTTAGGTTGGACGTCAGGGGGACGTTCTTTACTATGAGAGTGGTGAGGTGCTGGAACAGCTGCTCAGAGAGGCTGTGGATGCCCCGTCCATCCCTGAGGTGTTCAAGGCCAGCCTGGGCTAGTATTAAATGGGGAGATTGGTGGCCCTGCATGTGACAGGGCGGTTGGAGATTCATGATCCTTGAGGTCTCTTCCAACCCTGGTCATTCTGTGATTCTAATGAGAAAGTTATGTTTTGTGTTTAAAATCTTTTACTTCTGTTGTTGATTGCAGGAAAGATTTAGCTGCTTGGTCTGAAGGAGCCCTGGAGGCAAAGAAGGAAGAGCATGTCTGCTGCTAAAGAAGATGATGTCTGTAGCCACATGAAAGTGGTTGTTCGTGTCCGTCCAGAAACTCAAAAAGAAAAAGATGGCAACTTTGCTAAAGTTGTTCATGTTATTGACCAGCATATATTGGTCTTTGATCCGAAAGAAGAAGAATTTAGCTTTTTTCATGGAAAGAAACTGACCCACAGGGATATTAATAAAAGAACGAAGAAAGACCTTAAATTTGTTTTTGATGCTGTTTTTGCTGAAACTTCAACTCAGTTGGAAGTTTTTGAGCATACAACCAAAGGTGTACTTGATGGCTTCTTAAATGGATATAATTGCACAGGTATCTTTGCTATATGCCTCTTTTAATTCAATACATTCTTTGGAGGATCTACCCTTGTATCTGGCTGCTCAGAGACCCTAAGGATCTACATTTGAATAACTAGTTGTAATTTATAGTTACAACCATCTTACTCATTGTATATGGAGGGTAGGCTAGCTATGTTATGTTTTGAAGAAGAGTTTGTGATATGTTTGTAACAAGCTTCAGAATTTGATCTGATATACATGTGCTTATGAGGAGTATTCAAGGAAGTTATTCAGCCAGAGGTAGCTTCACTGAGTGTACTAATCTATTTTGTCAACTTAACTTTTCAAGAGTTTGTTTTTAACTGTCAAATAGAACACTGAGGTAATGCCTTATGTATCTGCAATAAGTTGATAGTTTAGGGTTAGGAGAGTAAAGAAATAGAATCTTTCACTTAAACTGCTTGTGAATTAACTTGGAACTAAAAACTTGAAAATACATGTGACTTTTGAGATAGCTTTCTGATTTCAGTTGTAGAAAGCAAATATTAGGTAAGAAAGTTAAATAGTTTGTGAAAATAGTGGTACAGTATGATAGGGGATGTGAATGTCCATTTGAAGTTTGTTCTTGTTTGGCTTTCTGATACAAAGTGTATGGTTTTGTTTTTTTCTTAATGCAGTGCTTGCATATGGTGCAACAGGAGCTGGGAAGACTCATACAATGTTAGGTTCCCCTGAAGATCCTGGAGTGATGTATTTAACCATGATGGCACTTTATAATTGCATGGATCAAATAAAAGAAGAAAAAATATGCAATATTGCTGTGTCTTATTTAGAGGTAAGTCAGCCCTTGGATTTAGCATACTGCTTTTAAGAAGGCATATTTTTATAAATCAAGTTAAACTTTTTATTTCCTCTCTCCTCCTACTCATTATGAACTATTCTGGGACTTTAGAAATGTATCCTTGATGGGACTGTAACTGGATAATGCTCAACAAATTTGATGTTACTAATAGACACCTGTTACTGTCTTGTATCTTCCCAAAAAGGCCGATCTCCTCTTCTAATGCATTCATTTCACATTCTAATAATACCTGTCTTGCAGATTAGTTAAGTTCCTTGCTCCTTAGTTGAGTTTCTTCCATCTGTTAATGGGTACAGGAAAATATTCTGTTGGTATGTGATGTTAGCAGTAATTTTCTGTAAACACTGAAATTGCACAACTAAAAGATGGTTAATTCCTTTCCAGTAATATTCAATTCAGTTTTACTGTATCTCAGGTTAAAGAAATGCTTCAGTGAGGGCTGCTATGGTACTGTTTAGCTCACTACAAAAAATTATTTTGGTCTTTGCTGCCAGCTTCTCTTTATCTTTTTGGCATTGTACTTCTGTTCTTACTAGTACCTATCTTTGCATTGCTGCAAAGCAGCTGTAGTAAAATTACTGTTATATTCTAGCCTCCACTAAGTCATAGTGGAATAGTAATTAGTGTTAGGGGAGGAGAGTAAAGAAGAGGAAGTAAGCTATTTCAAGTGCTTCCACAGACATTTATCAGTTTATTCTTATCACAGAATGTAACTTCATCTTAAAATAGTATTAAAAAATGAGGTTGCCATTCAAATCCAATCCTGTCAAGTATGATAGGGTAACTTTTCTAAAGAGATTTTAAATTCCTTTTCAAAGGTGTACAATGAGCAGATCCGTGATCTTCTGGTCAACTCAGGACCACTAGCTGTTCGGGAAGATGCCCAGAAAGGGGTGGTGGTTCAAGGGCTAACATTACATCAGGTATGTAAATAAAGACTGAAAGTCAGGAGCCCCACATTATTTGAGGTCAAATTAACTTGTGATGGCACAGTGAAAGTTGTTTGTAACTTAATCTCCTTCTGGGTTTTGTGTTTTGTTTTGGTTTTTTTGCAATAATCACCAATAACGTGGTAACCTGCAAACCTACTAAATAATTAATGCACGTTCTGAAAAAGCTACTGGTGTTCTTGAGTAGAAATGGATAAAATTTGTCTTTATTACCAAACAGACACTGCTGGTTTGATGCTTATCTTCAGGTTGTGGGAAGCTTGTTGTTTTGATTTATAATCTTAGTATTTCTTAAAGGACTTAACTCTTTTCAGTGCTATGCACGAGTGTTCAACACTTCTGCAAATTTTGTGCCTAGAACTTGAGTTTTTCTGTTTGTTTTTTTAATAAAGACACTAAAAATAAGTGCTGTTTCCAGACACAGCAACTTCAAAGTTGTTAATGCAACCTCGTTTCCTAATCTGTTAATTAATGTCATGGACCTAACTTTTTTTTCTTCCCACAAAATTTTGGAGCCTATTAAATGCTATGTAGTTTCCAGCTTCTATGTGCAACAAACAATGAAGGAAGGAATCACATTAGTTCAGCTCATCATTTAAAGGCCTTCTTTTCCTATGCTTGATTCTTGCATGAAAACAGTACTACATTAATGTTTGAAGCATTAATACAACAAAGATTAATTAAGGTATTCTTAGGACTTCTTTCTAACTGTGGATAACACTTGCAGATTTAAGGGTTTTTGGTGGGTTTTGTTTTGTTTTTGGCTTTCAGAAAGAAGTGTTTTCAGTTTCTGAAGCTCTTAAGTACTTGCTTTTCATGCTTTAATGTTCTTAACTGAGAGTATTTGAAGGGCCTCAATTCCAAAACAACAATTTCTATTAACTCAATTTTAAGTACCTTGGTTTTCCTTTAAGGTGAATGTTGATTTTTCTTTTTTACCATTTTAATCTATATATATAGATAGAGATATAGATAAGAATCACTGTAGAATCTTTAAAATCTTATACAGCTCATGAGAAAGGGGTGAAAAAAGTGTACTTACCCTGTGGTCTACTTTTAAAGCCGAAATCAGCAGAGGAAATCCTTCAAATGTTGGATTATGGAAATAAAAATAGAACACAACATCCCACAGATGTGAATGCCTCCTCTTCTCGTTCCCATGCAGTCTTCCAGGTAAGATGATATAGCAGGTATACACTGATATTTTTATAAGTTTTACTTGTTGCCTAAACTTGAATATAATGGAAGCTTTTAAATATATGTATATATATATCTCAGACCTTAATCTTAGTCCTCAGAACTAAAAGTCTTCCAGTTCACTGTTCATACTGAATAGAGTTGGAAGTAAACACGAGGAATAGCTTTCTAATCCCAACTGTAGTCTTTAGAAATATCTTTTCTCTAAAAACGTGGTTTTGAGTTAAGAATGTCTTGATATTGTAGATTTACACTTTGGAAGGCCTCTTAATGCGCTTTTATGCTTCTCTATTGTTGCTCAGCATTCTTGTACAAAAAATATTTTACAGAATGCCATTATTCTTCGGTCTGTAAAGTGAACATTTCAAGTGCTACTTTTCTGTCATTTGGTTTTGCATTGATTCAGGCTTTCTGTGTATTTTAGTTGTGTAGCCAGTTTTAACACAAACTAGGATTTAAGCAGTTACATACTTGAACCATGAAAATGAAATGCATATTTCTAGTTTCTGTTAAGATAAGGTTTTTACAGACATTGTACAAATGTGCTAGTATTTAAGAATTCTCCAAAGATTATTGCTGCTTGCAGACTATTATAATGTCCTTCCAACTGCTCTTGAGTACGAACTGGTACAAAAAATTATTTAAAAATGGGTCCTGTTAGCTAAAGCTTCTTGATCATTGGCAGCTGCCTATGGCCACATTATCTTCTATTATTTATATGTTGCTATTCTGGGTTGAAAAATATTACAAAGCAATTTGAGCTCTTGTCCTGGCATTACAGCTCGATTATTATTTAACTGTTAGACAGTTGTTAACTGTACCTGGCTGATGCCATGCTTAATAATGATAGTCAAAAGTTGATATAATCATTTAGATGATGCAAATACAAATAGCTGTAAAATAAGTACTGCAGATCTAAATTTCAGTCATTATTATTGACAATAAATAACAGTAAATATTTGACAGATTTACATATTTGAGGTAGCTAACAGCAAAATTCCCTCACTAGAAGTGTAGTTAGGCTTCTGTTTGAAATTGTCCTTTCTCACTTCCTCAGAGTACTTGCCTATGGTCATAAATTCAAAGCAATGAATTCATACCGAACTGGGTGGCTTGATTGCTGCATGGTCACCCATGTGTGCATCTTTAATAAGGCACAAAGTGCAGTGCCACAGATTGAGGTCAGACCACAAACAGCTGATTTCCTTGTTTACTTGGGGCTGGAGTGTCTTATCCTTTTACTTGACAGCAAAGAATTCAGATTTGTTTCATCAGGCAGGTTTTGCATTCATTTCAGTTCATTTCTAAAAATGGCAAGCAATTAAGTAAATTAGGTAGCTGTTGCAGTCTAGTGGTATTTTTAACAGGAAGGCAAGCAATTAAGTGACTAGAGATGCTGGAGAGTTCATCTTCTCCAGCCTGCATTCTTTGTTTACTCTGGCAAATTGATCTCAGTGTAGGTATATTTACTCATTAGCAAAAATTGCTTAAGCACCAAATGAAATAAACTGTATTGATAGAATGGAGTATGCTTGTATTTTACTGCAATTTTGTTGGAATGTATGACCAAAGGAAACATGCTGTGTGCAGACTAGATCTTTCTTTTAAATGCATTGTTGCAAACTAATTCTCCTTGGAGAACAGGTTGGAAAAAAGTGCTTGAAGGTGAATGGGTTGTTAACTGTTGGTAATAAAGTAAAAACATAATGAATTGAAAGATCCTATTGAATCTAAATGTTGTAGGAACAAAAAATTCCATTTCTGTGGATGTATACATAAAAAGTAATGTAGGATGCTGACTGCTTGTAATGTATTAAAAGCACCGTGGTCATTGATTTCTGTAGGTACCATTTGGGTGTTTTCAAGTAACTTTCATTTTGTATGTATATGAATATACTCTAAAATGGTATGATGCATCAAAGAGTACAACTAACACTGAAAGGATTGCTTACAAAATACTTCTAAAGAAAGTATTTGATTTGGAAAAAAATAAGAGGTAGTGTAAGCTTATGCAGCTCACATATATTAATCCCTGAATGATTATTCTCCAGATCCATTTGCAAGATTGTTGTTGCTAATAGCTTTCTTATGACTTCTAAAAGTAGTACAGTATTTCTTTCAACTTGAGAAAAGGGACAGATTTACTTCTGAACTAATCTATGTGGGTTCATCCTAAGGTGGTAGTAGTGGCAGAGTAGTCATGATAGCATGAAATGCACTGGTTGTGTTTTAGTCCCTATAAGCCACTGCAGTCAGCTAGATGGAATGCTTGATAGAACTTAATATTCGTGATTAAATGTCTGGATAGTCTGACTTCCTCACAAAATAAAACATCTCAGTATGAAGACTTGACATTGCCATGTCATGGCTCTAAAAGCATGTTCAGCAATGTAATCAGCATTTCATCAAAGGCACAATTCTTTCACAAAAACAGTTTGATTCTATTCAAGGGTGGTGTTGACAGATTACTATAGACAGCAACATTTTTTTGTGTTCTTTGTAGTATTCCTAATATGCTTCTTTTCTGTAATGAAATAATCCTGACGTTTTACTAGCTATCAATAAAGATATTTAATAGCTTACTAGAAAAGCTTTTACCTTACTGCTAGAAGTCATTCTTTGTTTTGTTAGATAATTGTGTATTTCAACTGTGTGATTTAGGTAAACATCTACTAATGTTGGTTTTTGTAGGAAAACATAAGACGTTGCAGTGATGGATTAGTTGTTCATTTAACAGTGAATGCCCTCTTTCACAGAAGTGACTTGATACTTGAGCTGATGAGGAGGAATATGTCATTTATACAAAAGTGTATTTGTGAAATAATAAAAAATGTTTAATATTAATACTGCATCTGCATGTGACACTTAAATGGAATAATGCTGTCACAAACTACATTGATCCAATGTAACTGAAAGTTTCAAATTTAAACTAATGAGTATTGGTTTAAGCTAAGTAAATTCACAGCCGTGCACTTCTTAAAGGGGGATTTTAGATGCTTTGTCTACCTGAGGTCCTTATGAGCAGCACTGGCATCTCTAAGAAACAATTATGAACTAGTCAGCTAGTACTGTAAGTAATTGCATATGTCAGTTTGCAGCTATTTCCTTTATTTACACAACATTGAAAGGGTTCTGTTGATGAATAAAGAAATGGTAAGGATTGTGCTTTAGGGCATTTCCTATATCTTTTGGATTTTTATAAAAGCTTGAGTCATAGAACATGATTTGGCTGTCACTCCACCTTCCTCTAGTTGACTAATGGTTGTTAACTGGATTTTGTTAGCGTTACCAGCCTGGAATAGCTCCTTGAAGATGAGAAATACAGAGAAATGGCATTTCTCTTGTTGTATATTGAACTTACTAAAATAGTACAATGGGTCTTGATAGTATTGTTTGATGCAGAAATATTTACATTTGGTACAGACTTGTTTACTCCCCCACAGTGCAATGTGACAGAAAATATGAAGGGCAAAAAGGGCTGAGTAGGTAAACTATGTGGTTCAAAATAAAGGCAGTTGAAGGAGGACAGAAAAAGTTACTGTTTTGAAAAAGCAACCAGTTTTGTTACTGGGTAAGATGTTACATGGAATATCACTATTTGGATGAGGTCTGCTCTCTGAGTCGTGTCCCCTCCTAGCTTCTTGCCCACTCAAGCTGACTGGCTGGAGTGGAGCAGGCACTGAGAAACGGAGAAGGCTTTCATGCTTTATAAGTACTGCTCAACAATATGAAAACATTAGTGTTCGCTGTCCTAAATCTGAAAGACAGCAACATATGAGCTTGTGCAAAGAAAACTTACTATTCCCCAGCCAAACACAGTATACAACCATACTCAACTTTTTTTTCCTACCTGAAGCATGTGGATTTGAGGTGTCAAATTATGTTCCAGTAGGACAAACTGCCTGTTGATGAGTATGGAAAGGTTTAACTTAAAATGCAAAAGGATTCCAATAAGAATTTCTGATGATATTAGAGTAATAAAACACTGGATAGTGGTCAACTAACTTTTTTTTTTGCCTTGTAGATTTACCTAAGACAACAAGACAAGATAGCTAGCATTAGTCAAAATGTTCGAATCGCCAAAATGTCCCTCATTGACCTCGCAGGATCTGAACGTGCCAGTGCCACAAATGCTAAGGGGGCTCGTTTTAGAGAAGGAGCAAATATTAACCGCTCCCTGCTAGCTCTTGGAAATATCATTAATGCCTTGGCAGATCCAAAGGTACGTGGTGGTTTCCCAAGCTGTCTTCAACTTTTAGTCTTGTGGAAATGTTTTTGAACATGATAACCATTAAGTATTGCATCTTTTTGACTCTTATTATTTGTTTATAATTTCCTCATTGCCTGTCACCATGAAGTATATCAGAAAATGTATGTAATAGGGCCTTTATTCTCTTAAGAATAAGAGCCTCTGTAGATTCTGCTGAGGGATGGGATAGGGAAGGAGTTGGTTTTTTTTAAAAAAACTTTTTAGTTACTGAATCATCTGATGTAGCTTAATTTTAGCCACGTGAGCTTTGATGCTGACAGTAATTTCCATATGAAAGAGAAACGATGTGTTTTAAGTATCCTAATTTCATATCTGATTATATTGATGATTGGAATCATCATCCCATGAATTGCCTTAAGGTTTACTTAGCTAAGCTACAGGGTTAGGTTTTTTTTCCTTAACAAAAAGAGAGTTGAATGAAAATGTCCTGTACTGTGTTGCTTAAACTTAAAGCAGAAATCCTAAGGTTTTAAACTGTTACAACTGTTAGGGATTCTGCCCATTATCACAGAATCACAGAATGGTCCAGGTTGGAAGGGACTTCAAGGATCATGAATATCCAACCCCCCTGCCATATGCAGGGCCACCAACCACCACATTTAATACCAGACCAGGTTGCCCAGAGCCCCATCCAATCTGGCCTTGAACACCTCCAGGGATGGACAGGGCATCCACAGCCTCTCTGGGCAGCTGTCCCAGCACCTCACCACTCTCACAGTAAAGAACTTCTCTCATACTAAAGAACTTCCCCCTACTATCAACCATGTATAAGTCTATTAGGCTTGGTGATGTGCGTCTGAACTGTTTCTTGTTCTTTTTTTCTTACCTCCTAATTGTTTCCATTTTGTGATACACACATTTTGGTCAGTAACAGAAATTAACGGATAACTTTCTAACCAGTTCATCATCATAATGGAGATTCATTTGAGGATTCTTTTTATTTATTTGGTAAAAGGGCAGTATGTTTTGTACATGCAGCCACCTTACTAATCTTCAACTTTTAAAATGAAAAATCAGAAGTATCCTTTTATAGAAGGGGGAAAAAAAAGAGCTACTTGGGACTTTCTATAATGTATTGTTGGAGAAACTTATTTCCTTTCTTTCCACCTCAGTTCATTGTTAAACTAATAGACATCATCTGCTTGAATGTGTGTTGTACTGTCAATAGCATGAGAACTTCAAATAAATGTTGAAAAGCAGAATTGAAATGATACAATTATTAACTGCTTATCAACAAGACACTGGTGCATGAGGAAAAGCTTTCATGGACATACTTGCTTTCCTTTTTCTTCTGTAATTACTTATTTTTTTGTCTCTCTGTATATTTGACTTGGTTATTGTAATCCATTTCTCCCCTCTGATTTTTTTTTTCCAAGATTGCTTCCCTAAAGTATGTTTTCATACTGCTGCTAATGTTCCCACCTGTCTTTAAAGAATACTTTCCAGTGTTGTCATTGTACCCTTGTATATGTCCAAACCTGTCTTGTCATTAAATCTCTTACAATGTTGCTGTGTACTTATTTCCTTCATCAACTGGGAGGGCCTTGCATTTCCTTATCTACTTTCTAGCGAATGCTGTGTTCTTTCTCATCTTTGTTTCTCTTATCTTCTGGCTATAAACTGACTTTCAAATAGGCCAGTCAAAATCCTTGTATTTCCTTTGATCTTTTCAAAGTATTATCCTGTTTCAACAAAATTTTTTATTTTTAAGCTTTGTCCCTATTTTAATATTTTGTTGGGTGGGGTCTGTAAGGTAGAGTATGTTTGCTTTAAGTTGAAGAAAATCAATGTGCAAGATGTTACTGTTTGGTACAAATGTCCAGTAGAAAAAAGTATAGGTATTTAATAAAACAGTTTAAGATATAACTATAACAGTCTCAGCTGAATTACAGTGGATGAAGTTAAGGTGGATACTATAATACTTCCCTTCAGTTACTTTCCATTATAGTCACACAGGACAGAAAAACAAGAATCAGAGTATGTCTTCATTGCGTGTCTTCTAGGGATAGGAAACAAATTTGTTGTCTAGTCAACGTGACAGATATTTTCAAGAAAATAAACTGCCTCCTTTCTCCCCTCCAGAATAATATCCTGCACTGAAATTTTGAGATAGATAGATATATATATACGCAAACACACACACACACAAGCTTTATTCCCTTATTCAGGAATGGCTGCCAAAAATACAATTTTACTTTGTGTACAGAATTACTTCTAAATTTTAAGGGGTTTAATTAATTTTTTTTGTTTGTTTTTTACCCTATTGAGCATTTGCTGTTTCAGTTATTTGTGAGGACTGTTACCAGAGATTTGAAGAGCAGAATAGTATGCCCTTCTAGTCAGTAGTAAGTTGTTAAATCTCAACTGATTAGTCAAGGGGGTTGCCCTATCAGGCTTTCCTGCCTTCAGCTACTAATGTTCTCTACCTTGCTGGCAGCAGGGTCATGTTTCCCTGATCAGCAAATGCCGTTTTTGTTTTGGGTTCTATTTCCCAGTGTTTATTTTGAAGGGGGAGACAAGGTGTGCATTATGGATTTGATTGGTCTTTTGTGCTGTTTTGCCCACTTTGTTTGTGGCAGTAAATTATTCTCCTGATCTGGCCCATCAGCTCAAGGGAAATAGCATGAACAGTTGTGTGAGAGAGGGACTAAACATTCTGAATTTCTGCCAAACTCAAATCTGTAGCTTGCACCTCTTGGTCAGCTAGCAATTTCTCCTTTCAAATAGGGTAAATGATCAAAGCTTTTATTTTCTTTTATGCTGCCTGGCAAACCTGCAGACTTTCACTGCCATCTTGTTGGGGTAAAAGGCAGAATTTAGAACCTGTACCATTTAATATAAGTAAGATAATTCATGTTGACATATTTAGTATGGAATTGGTGTACTAATTGCTTTTGTACTATGAGATGGAGTCTCTGTAAACGTAATGAAGGAAGAAGCTTTACTGAGCAAACTCAGGCAACTGAGTTGCTTGGAGAAGTTGTTGAGTCAATATCATTGCAGATAATCAAAACTCAACTGGCCAAAATTCTTGGCAACTTGCTGTAGCTGATAATGCTTTGAGTAGAGGGATCTTGAAAGGAAGGACTTCACAATCTCAATCACTCTGAACACAAATGGTTTAGCATAGCCTACTTTTTTATGTTAGTTGCTCACACTAACATTTTTTTTATATATACAGACATTGGGAAGTAACCTGACCAAGAATTCTGCTATAGAGGTATTAAGTCTCATAGGTTTAAAGCAGATTGTTCTAGTTGTAAATGTGATTTTGAGGAAATTGATTTATGTAAAAGAGATATTCTGTTTGTCATGTTTAGTGGTATTCCTGAAATGGTAAGCAAACATTTGAGCATATTTAAAGTACAGCTGCTTAATACATAACAATGTTTTCTTTATAGAGCAAGAAACAGCACATTCCTTATCGAAACAGCAAGCTCACTCGTTTGTTGAAAGATTCTCTTGGAGGAAATTGCCGAACAATAATGATAGCTGCTGTTAGTCCATCTTTTATGTTTTATGATGATACATATAATACTCTTAAATATGCAAACCGAGCAAAGGATATTAAGTCTTCTGTGAGTATATTGGTATTTATTGATCTCCTGTCAAAATATAGTAATAACTTCTTAAGAGAAGGGTTATTTCTTTCAGAAGACTATTTTCAATTTACTTACCTTCTTTTCCTCAAAATTCTTTTGTTGTCTCTTCTTTCTTCATTTGGGTGTTTGATACTGAGTGTGAGCTGAAAAGATTTTGTCTTCCTAGCCTCAGACTTAGAAATAATCTTCAACTGGTGAAATCCACAACCAGTTTCAGTGTCTTACCACTTTTTATTCAGAGATCAATAAAGCACATGAAAAAGGTATCTGAACAGCTGTGCAAGAGCCAGTCCAGCTCTGTCACAAGTAGGATTCAACTGGAGCTAAGAATCTTGAATGAGATTATACTGACAAGTGGAAATCCATTATGGCTTCCTGTCTTCTGCTCTATAGTATCTATTTAGATTGTTGTGACTTTTTAATAATCCTTTCTACTGTGATACCAAAATTTCTTTTATGTACTATGGAGTTTTACTATATTTTTCATTTTTGCATAGTTTATTTTTAATATTTATTGTTCTTTTGAGGAAAACTTTAGCTTTTGCAGTCATCTGTTGCATATAAGGTTCAATTTTGTGGCCAAGTCAGAAATATATTCATGCCTTTTCTCAGAATATAGTGCAGATGTAATTATGTAGTACTTAAACACAGTCGATTTTATGTAAGGAAATTAAAAAAAAAAATCTCCTTCATGAATTATAATTTCTTTCATTTCTTTTACAGTTGAAGAGTAATGTTGTTAGTTTGGACAGCCACATAAGCCAATATGTTAAAATTTGCAATGAACAGAAGAAAGAGGTATGTCATAATCTATTGTTAAAATGTTGACATATAATTGTTACAAGTTTGAACTTTATTTTAAAGTTAATGTGATTGAACCTATAGGGCAAATATTGTCCTAATAATTCTGTGCAATCTTCAGAAATGTTCATTTTTTTCAAAAAGGATATCACTTAGTGCTATTTGTAATGTGTTTTAAGACAAATGTGTGGAAGGATGGTTTCAAAAATTGAGGACAAAAATCTAGCTTAAAGGTTACTCTTTTGTTTAAGATCATGATGTTGAAGGAGAAATTGAGAACGTATGAAGAAAAGAAAGCAAGCATCCATCAAAGCCAGGATTCTTCTGTAGTTTCAAACCATCAGCAAGTGGAAATACAAAGGTAAATTGATCACATGAAGATTTTTCCTTCAAGACTGAGGTTTGCCTGATTATAAATAATAAATATATAGTAAAATGATATATAAAATAAAAAATAGTATAATATAAAAGAGATAATATAGTAAAAATATCTGTAGAATGAAATTACTCTTTCAGTATTGGTTTTGTAACTCCTAACATTGTTTTACATAGAGTAGTGCAGTACTGCCACTCATGTTCAGAAAAGTTGAAAAGGTGGATTTTAAATTAAGTACTGAGCACTTAAGGAAGTATTTTAATTTACTACTCAAATTATTCAACAAAATACTGCGAGATAATCATGTAGTCTGACCATCGAGAAGCTGATATGACTCATTGACATCATGAATTAGATCTATGATGGAGGTCTTACATCTATAACTACTTTCCTATGAAGTGTTTACTGACAATGCTATACTTGTCATGTAGATATTATGGTGTGGATTATATTGATTCCCATCAAGTTTTTGTTTAACAGCTGATATCGAGAACATTTGTATGTGTGATAGGAGATGGAATCTAACTAAAGTTATGAATGTTGAGAAGTAAGCATATGATTATTATAAAACCTATGTGATGGGATTAGTTAAGCTTATCTTTGCCTTCGTTACTGAAATGAAGCTACTTCATAGAGAAGTTGGTTATTTTTGTCACAAGACTACTAGTATTCTGTATAATTGTGCATATGAAATTCTACCACTGACAGTACAAAAGATATTTAGGACAAATGTTCTCCTAGAAATCTCTTGTTACTCTGTAGGAGTAACAAGTTCATTCTGAGTACCAAAACCTAAAGATTTTGAGGGGAGAAATAACTTCCTTCACTCTCAGATGTATAAACTACTGTATTGTATTAACTACCATATTATAACCTCAGTTTTGAGATAAGATTTACATTTCCCTTTATCTCAAGTCTTACTCTATTTTGAACCCATACTCAGCAATATTGCTATGAAGTTATTTTAACTTGCCTTTACTTTGGATCTTATTTTCTTGTTCTTCTATTAGTGGAAGGACCCACACCTGCAAGTGATTTCTTGCTAAAAGAACTTTTTAGAACTTGTGTGCACATACATATATATAATATAATTACAGACCTACAGGCCTTTGTGTATAGTGTCCTACTATACAAAAATGAGATGGCGTTAGTTAAATGTTTACAAATAAAAATACTCAGGATAGATCTTGTTTGTGTGGGTAGCACAGAGCTGGCTTAGGGTTGTTTACTGAGGTGTTGTTATTCACATTGAAATATCACTACATCTGCTAATAAGATATAACTAACAACTGCCAGCCAGATAATCAATAGGAGAAGAAGAAAAAAAAGGTTGGGGAACGGATGGGGTAGAGAAGGAATAAATCATGCAACTATTAAATATATGTAGGCTGCATGGTAAGCTGAGGACAGAAAAAGAATGATAAATGTAACACTATAGATTAGTGTTGCATTTGAGTGCTGTGTAATAAAATAATACAATATGCTTAATACAAGGAAAAAGCATAATAGAAAAGTTTCCTGATAAATAACTGTGGAATAATCCTGTGGGGTGATGCAAGCCCATTCTATAGGACTTGGAAAACTAGGCAGTCCTTGAGTAAGAGAGAACAACTGTTGTTTTTTGTGATGGGAAACTGATCTTCGTAACCTTAAAAAATGGGAAAATGATATCCTACAAGTAAGAAAGTTATAGCTTTTAAGATATATTATCAATAAACTGGTTAAGCCTAGACTAGTAGAGATAGTATGTTTCTGGGAGAGGTATAGTAGAGTTTCTGTAAGGCTCCATTAATTCTAGGAATATATTGTCGAATGGAAATTGATACTGTACTGCATATTAAAAAGAATAATAATAAAATCTATATGCAAGTTCTAATGTGTTGTTTCTGCTCACAGTCAGGTTAACTGTTTTATTAGTAACCTTTCAGGGTGAGGAACAGAGGGACATATGAATGCCAGCTTTCTACAAAGCCACTTAATTTGTTTTTGTGGGCTGACAATGTAGAATGCATATATGACAGCAGATGCTGCTATGGCTGACAAATATCTCATCAGTAGTACCCTTCCTGTGAGATTTGAGCGGCAGGAACTGGAGTTATTCTTTCACATAGAAACTCACTCACATCAGTAGGTTTTTTGTTCCTATTGCTCTTAGATTTTTTAACCTTCATGATGTTCCTACAAATCTTTCTGGTGACGAGAATACTTAAGATATTTATATGTGTTTGTTACACAAGTCAGTATATTTCATGAGAAGGTTAGGTTTTGGTTTGAAAGTCTCACTGGGTCTGTCCCTTCATATCTCATCATGTATCATGATATTTATCCACCTACTTAGTTCAGTTAATACTTTCACTGGCCTCTTGAATGTGTTTTCTATCTGGGAAAACCTCCTGAGATAAAAGTAAAAATCCATTTCTTCAAATTACAGGTTAGTGCAAGAAAAGAAATGTTTACTAAAATAGTACCCAACAAGATTTCATTGAAATTGAGCTAGTATAAAATCTTCCATACTCTTAGGCAGACTTGACTGTTTAGCGACAGATTAGGATCTTGGAGATTTTTCAAGGAAAGGAGGTAATCTTTGTTACATTTGTTTGGCTAAACTTAAGCTTGTTAAGGTTCATTGTGTATGTATTTTTTATCTGCTGAAGGAGAAGAGATTTATTATATATTGTTTAGAGATGTATTGTTAGCATCAAGTGTCTGGATCAAAACCAAAGAAATTACAGCTGTTAGATATCTTTAGCTGTGCTTGTGAAACCTCTTCAGAAAATAGTTAAGAAATTGTGTAGGGGGAAATGCTTTTACTTACTGGATGTTGGTTGTCTCTTCATTCATCATAAAGTAGAAGTTTGATATTTTATTGGAAAGAGATGGTAAAGTGTCATTCTTATCTGCAAAACGTTAGCAGTTTGGACGAGTTCCTTATTTAACTCTAAGTTTAAGAGGTCATTTAATGGATTACTTTGTCCTGTCTAAATATTACCACTTTTCTACTGTGGCATATATACCATAGTTCTGTGAAGAACATTCTTTGTTTATCTATATTCTTCTCTCTCCTATCTAAATTAGGGTTTTGACTGCTATGGCTACATCAATTTACATGTCCCTAAATTAACGGTATTTGAGAAATTTTATTAAAGCATACTAAGTAATAGTATCACATGATGAGGATTTTGATGCTCAAAAAACAAAGACATCTTCCAGTGTGATCTGAAAGAGGTTCAGGTTCACCTGATTACTTTTCTTGCTCCTGCAAACCTAGAAGTCATTCCTGTGCTTTCTGTTGACTAAAGCTAGGAGACACAATGTCTGCCAAACTTTCAAGTCTTCAGCCTATTGATGCAGACCGTGGACACTGACTTTGGTACTGCCACCCATACATATGTCTGTGAGCTCTGAAAGTAGGTAGTCCAGAGATAACTATATCCTGCATGTGCTTACACGTTCACTCTAACATTTTTAAGTGAAGAATAGGGAAGATTACCTCATAGAAAAGTATGGTTACTGAGAAATCCATCTCAAAGCAGTAGTTTTGCATAGGCTTTTCTACTTGATACTATAGCTGGGATGCTGATTTTTAACTACACAAAAGGTTCATTTATTGATAGTTACTGGTAATAGTTCCTAATAATTATGGAGTACAGGAGGAGATCCTGTTCTGCAGCTTCACTTAAACTGTTTGCAGAATTTTACTGCTGTTAAAATGAATAGGATTTGCCATCACTTCTCTCCTGCCATATTTCCAAAGCAGGTGGGAGGGAACATGTTTCTATGGATACTGTGGAGGCAAAAAAAAATTCTCAGCCACTTGTGCAAACATTCACTCATAGGGTGACTGTTTGTATAGATAGGAATAGTGTAAAGTAAAAGCAGTCATGTTCTGCAGTAGAATATCTTATTCCTTAAAGAAATATTTCTAAATCCATTGTGTATCTGTACAGATTTTTACATCAGTACAATAGCATTGTCTGGAGAACTTTGGGCAAGACTCCTGAGTTTCTGAAACTGTAGAAAGGAGTTGCTCTGTTCTTAAAATGCAAGTAATAAAACAATTTGGGTTGTTCAGACTTCAGATTATGAAATTGCTACTTCTGAAATGCATGTCTAAAAGTTAACTATATGGCAAGAACGTCTCTTCAGCTTGTTCTCTACTTCAGCCTATGCTCAATTTTATAGTAACTGTACAGCATTTCATGATGCCCTGAAATAAACAATGTATTACGATCTAATTTTGCACATCTTTAGAACACTTGCATGTTAAACTGTCATCTTATGGTGAGAATTATCTTAGTGTCATGATTGATGCATGCAGCATCTTTTTGGCTATTTTGGACTGCACTTGCAGTATTTGGGAGTGAAGGAAGAAAGTACCACCCCAGAAACTTACACTGCAATGTGGCAATCTTTCTAGGCTTCTTCCCTATGCTTATTACTCTAACTTGCATTGCAGACTAGGAATAAGCAGATTTTTGAGACCATTTAGACATCAGTCTAGTTGGAGTAACTTCTAAGTATTTTCCATCAGTGTTTTCCCTATTAGCCTGGTAAGTGTTAAGATATGATGCATCTTCTGATTTACAGCTTGAATTGGAGATTTTCCCAAAATAAAGGATGACTTGTGTGTTTGTACATGTATATATGTAATAATAATTATTAGTAGCTCACTTGCTTATCTTTATTGTGATACTTCACTTGCAATAGATACAAAGAAATTCTTAAAAATGTGTTTGCAAACCGTGAAGAAATCAGAGAAGAATATCTAAAGCTGGAAACGCAGCTGAAAGTCAGTACACTGAAGGCCTATTATCAGAAACAGTATCATGAACAAATTCAACTGATATGCTCTGAAGAAAGAATAGAGAAGGTGAGTTGTCTAAATCCTAAAGTGTTTATGTAACTTAAACAATTAGCTAGTGCTTTGTTATTTATACTGTTGATATGGGACACTCTGATTAACGCTCAGATAATATTTCTAATGTTAATACAGAAAATATTATTTTAATGCCAGTCAGGCTTTTTTCCCCAGGCCACATAAACTGTGCGTTTCTGCTTATTACTGCTAATTGTGAAAACTTTTTTCAGCTTAACCTTCTTCAGGTTGGAGTGTCATAGTTACTTAATGCCTTGGGAGACTCATGATGATCTTGCCCAAAAACAGTGTGATGATGTATGGATGGTAGAGCCATAGAAGCTGTTATGAAGCTGAGAAATCCATGTGTCATTACTAATCCTGTTCATAAGGAAAAACACTGACATGGTGCTGAACAAGACATTCTTACTGTTTCCACTAGTCACCAGAAAGTTCTCTGAATAGCTGTTCATGGGCAAAGTTACATGAGCCAAAATCGCATTTAACTGCCATGAAATTTAACTCAAGAGTATGAGGCTAAGTATTAACAATTGATGTTATTGCACTGAATGCTCACTTCTTTCTAGAAGATCAAGGTAATGTCTAGTATTTTAATTTCTCTGATACAATTTGACTTAAATGCTTTATGTACATATGAAACTGAGGGTGGGGCTGATTTTGATTAGTGGCAGTAACAGTCTGTGTTGAGCTGAAGATGATAATTTGCTAGGTTACTATTTTTTTCAGTAATTCACAAGACATTTGGTCCAAATGGAAAAACATGTCACAAGTTTTTGGTTGTCATTAGGATACTTCAAGTGACTAACACATTCTAGAATTCTTTCATGTCACAGAAACTCTGAAGTAATGCTTTTTGTCCAATGGGGCACAGTGTGTTCATAATGGAGGTTGTGTGCTCACACGCAATTTCACATAAATGTTTCAAATGAGCTGACTTCTTTATTGGATCTTAGCAGTACTGCACTCAAATACTCCAATGATGTTTTTGCCATTAGATAATTTACAGGTGTGCCTAACAGTCAAGCATCATTGGTTCTATAAGTACAATAAGTTACTAATAAGAGTAGGTCATAATAATGGTAAAATTAAATGAGACTACTTTGGAACAAATTGGATTTTAATTTGGAACCCAGATATCTGATTGATTACTTGCACATTACAATGCTTCTGTTCTTCCAAGTATTTTCCACAGATTTTACAGTCTCTGGGCCTTCTCTCTGAAATGCACTGTGAGGCTGCAGTTGTATTTCTGAAATAATAGTTTTAAAGGAAGAGTCTTCTAAAGTTAGATATGTTTTCCATTTAATTGTTTGTGCTCAGTAACTACATATAATCATTTCAGACAAGTTAATGTAAAGCATGTTTTCTTACCTGTACTTGAAAAGCCTCAATTTGAAAGCTTAAATTCAAAAGAATAGTATTTTTGTTTTGCTTCTTCATGAAATTATTCGACTTTGTTCCCTTAATCTCTGCTGTTGCAAAAATTTTGTCACAGAAAAAGCATTTGCGACACTTCAGTTAGTGGAAATTTGGTTAATCTTGACTGATCATCCCATTTTCTACCTAACTTCTGAGTTCGAGCCCTTCTAGAACTTGAGCACTGTATGCTCAAAAGTCCTGTTTACATACTCCTGCCTAATTCTTCTGCTTTGTTACCCCTGTTTCTGTCTGTTTTCCTGTACCTACAGTAGTGTTAACCTTACTAAGTGTAAGAAAGTCTTTATGCAGTTTTGACCCAACGTATCTCGAAGCTTTCTTTATCAGCCTTGCAATCTGTATCTTAAAACAAACACTGAAAACACTGCTACTCTTATAGGTTTTTAAAAGGTGCATTAGATATGAAATCCTCCACTTAGGATGCTTCATTATGGTTTTTACCACCTTTAAAAGGAGTGTAGTCCTCAAAAGCATTGAAATCGTGGCATCAGTTTTTCTGCCTTCTGCAATTGCCCATGTTGAATCTACTTGTTGAGTACATCCCAGTTCTTCAGTCTGGGAGTGACAAGTTTCTTCTCCATCTCATGTGACTTATGCAGTCATACTACAGAGTAGGAGCCAAGTGTCTTGGCCAGGAGAGTGTGTTTCAGAGGTCATGCCCTCTAAAACAATCATATAGCTAGCATGCTTTAATTGGTCTTTTTTCTATTTCAGTATAGTAACATCACATCTTTTCTTCCTTGGGACTTATTAGAAGGGTTCATCAAATGGTAGGATATTGTCAATGCCATCTTCATTTGACATGCATTTCCTGTACCAGGTAAAAACTAATGACCAGAATGCAAACTAACACATCTGTTTTTTCTACTTTAACAGTCTTGAAAGTTTTGCCCTGCCCTTACTGGACAGCAGGAACCAGCAGTCACTGAAACTGTAGTCTGACAATTCTTTCTCTTGGTACTTTCCCTGAGGAACTCCCTTTGACCTTCTGGGTTCTTCCATCTCTTTGCTTTTTCCTTAGACTGTCTTATCTGCTAAGTGAAGCTCTGAGCAGAGTTTAGTCTTTGCCTGGAGCGCGCACACAGTTCAGGTGTCTTTGCTGTGCTGGTTCTGTGTTCTGCTCACCAAGTGTTGAAGTACATAAACACATTGAAAAGTTAGCAAAAAAGTATGGGAATGTTTACATGTGGTTCAGTAATGCTCCATAAGGAGAATGAGCTATTTTACTTTTATTAAACTAGCCAAAAATGTGAAATATTTGCTGTGTAAGCACATGGAATTGTTTTATAGAGAGATGCTAGAAAACATCATATGAAAGTTGCTGCTTTAAGCGCTGTGTCTTTTTCAATTTTAGGCCACTTGCAAGCGGGATCATATGCTTGCAAGGCTTAGAACCTACTGTGCACATGTACAGAAGAAGAAAGAGGAGAAGATGGAACGTTTTGAGGAAAATACCAATTGGCTGCATCGCGTTGAAAATGAAATGCGCCTCCTGGATCAAGGTGGCTGTATTCCAAAGGTAAAAGGCCTTTCACTTCAAGGACAGATTTCATGCATTGTAAGCAACATCTGACTCAAGAATAGGTTGTTCTTCTTTCCATCTTTCTTAGGATTTTTACTGTGACTAATTCTTTCAGAGTGGTTTCAAAATTTAGAGTTAAATATTTTAGATTTTCTACCATCAAGATATCATATTGCTTGTACAGTCATTCCATGTAAAAATTTATAATTACCTGTAAAAACACATTCTAAAGGAAAATAAATGCTATGGCTGAGAACTTGAGACAGCTGCTTGAGAGTTGATCCTGCTTCTTGCCCTACACTTCTGTTCTTGCTTTCACAGTAGGTCTTAATGTTTGTCTAAGCACGCCTAACCTAGTTTTTATCTTGGCAAAAAAAAACATGCATTTCAAGGTTGCAAGAGAGGTGAGAATCAAGGAAGAAATTGTGTTAAGCTCACTTCCAAGTTTTAGCGTCTCGAGCTTGATACAGTCCCAGGTGAACAACAGAGCTGGCAGAAGGGGAGGGATGAAAGCATGTACAGGGAAAAAAAAATGAGGAAAAGAAAGGGTTGGGATATTCCTCCCTGACTTTTGATTTCAGCTGGCAATTAGGTTGGCTCGAATTACATTGTGTAATGAGCACTTGTATAACTCAGATAATGGAATATTTGTATTAGGATGACTAAAATTTTTTTATACTGTAAGAGTGAATTTTAAAGTATTTCAAAATATTGGCATCACAGGAAGATGACTGAATATGATGAAGACTTGTTCCAGTCAGTATCACTGAAATCCAAATATGGAGCAAGTACATAGGAAAAGCAAGTGTATCTTTAGCCATACGCATGTAAATACATGTATGCCTGCTGGACTCCTAGAGCTAATTAGAGCACACTCATCTTGTCAAAGGAAATTAACAAAACAATATTTATGCATGGAAATTAAAATCAAGCAATTCACAATAAATTTATTAGAATACCATTGATGCATTTTACTTTTACATTTCAATAGATCACCTATTATTTTCATTTATGCTTCAGTTTCTCACTTATAATTTGGCTACAGTTTTTTGGTTTTTTTTCATTGCTAATTTCCTAAGGAACTGCATGAAGATCTTCAGTGTTGCCATTTAAACCTAGAAGTTAAGGACCTGAAAGCCCAGATTGAGCACATGTTATCGCTATTGTCCCTTCAAGATCAGCACTATAAGCAGATGGAGAAGTAAGTACAGTTTCAGTACGGGAGGTCTCTTAAAAACTTCCATTTTGGCAATTGTAACTTTGGAATACATATCTATAGAATTGATATTTAGTTAAAACGGCAGCATGTTTTTTTCTCACTTTTCTCTTTAGATTAGAGTTGTTCTATAAAGATAAGGAAAATAATAACTTGGTAAATCTTGGTTTCTGTCATACTTTGTTTATCTGAAACTATGAGCACTGTGTCTATCACTTATTTTTACTTCATTTCTTTCTCTGCGTAGTTTTTAGGACTTGTTAATAGGCCATTGTTTTTTTCACTTTTATGTTTAACAATACTGACTGTAATTGTTTGCATTCATATTTGTGTCTACAGTGCAGGAAATTAAATGCTTCTACCTGTACTAAGAACATTATAATTAAACTGGTATATAATGTGGTCAGACTATTAAAAAAAAAAAAGCTGAATTTGAAGGTAAATATCAGCTCTGTCATCAGTCTCTTGAACCTGCTGAATACAAGCCTTCAGGGTGTGAGATATGCAATGAGAAGTAATCACAAATGTCTTCAGTAAATATATGTAAAATGTATACAATGAAATAATTCCAAAATGAAATAACCAGCTTCTAGTCATCATTTGAAGAAAGGGTATTTAGCATAAGCTTTACAATAATGAATACACAAGCCTTCAAAGCTGAAAGCTGCACGCTTAACATTCCATTTCTGTAATTTCAAGTTTCCCATTTGTTTTTTTGTATACACATCCCCTTGGCTACTGTTTGAACCCACAGCTTAGTCTAGCAACTGAGGCAAGAGCTAACAAATTCTTTTATTCAAATAGATTTCTGAAACTTCTGTCACTTGAATTCGTTTTGCATTTGTGCATGCATCTTATACTTAATTTTAGAAAGTCAAAATTCCATCAGGATATAATGACTGTTCTTGTACTGTTTGAGTGATCTTAGAAACAGAAAAACCGAGGATCTTCAGCACTGGGGGAAAACTATACTTGGAAAATACTTATAGTGAGTTACTCAGCTTAGTCAAGAATGTTTTTTCCTAGTTGAAATTTTGTGGAATAATACAAGACTATACAGCAGATCTTCAGGATGGAGGAGGACAAGGAAAAACCCTTACTAGCGGTAGCAGCAGTGCTAATAGAGACCAGATTGTGATTTAGTCACGTTTATCTTCTTGTTTTACAGAGTTCTAAATGCTTTGCTTCCAGTTCTTCGCAAGCAGTATCTGATTTTGAAAGAAGCTGGGTTGACAAATACTTCAACTGAGACTGAATTTGGAGAGGTAGAACAGCTGATTCAAAGACAAAAATCAGTAGTTTGGGCTGACCAGACTGGAGATGAGGAACAGAAGGAAAACCGTGAGCTAGATGTGTCAGCTATCTTTGCATTCCCACAACTTGTGAACAAACAGAAGACCCCGTGCTGTAAGTATATAACTAAATTTTTCTCTGTTGGAAATATTTAAGTATTTTATGAAAAAGCTGTATCTCATTAATGTTTAACGGTGGATGCACGCTTCTGCTAATATTGAGAATGAATGTAAAACTGAGATTCAGGACCACTTTCTGTAAAAAGCGGATGCCATTCCTTATTAGACATGAGGAATAAGCTTACTCTTTCAGTGGCCAGACTTTTTTAGTAGCTCAGTTCTAACAAATAACTCCCTTTTTGTCTTGTAATGTGGCCCATCCGTCTATGTTTTTAGGTACTTTGTAGCAGTACTAATCTATTTCAGTCACTCAGGTGATGTTGACGGAAAAAGTTCTGGTGTCAATTGTATTATAATTATTTCAAAGTTATTCTAAAAATTAAGCGGCTACTACAGTTACTCAGTTTGAAGTAATATATTTGAGCAGAATGAGCTTTTCTTTTAATTATGAGTTGACCTGGAAACAATTTATTACAACATTTTATAAACTTATTTCTCAAAGGATCAAAGGTTCAGTGTTTTTATTGTGAAATTGGCTGTTTTGCAGTGTGGTGATAGCCCTGTGAATTCCCCATAATTTTAGACAGCTGTTTCTTCTTATTTAGATTTTTTTCCCAGATAGCAAACAAGTTGTGCTTGTTTGCTATCTGGGGAAAAAAGGAGCATTTGTCCTGAGGGATGGTGAATGGGATCTCAGAGATGCTGTGGTGCAATGCTTGAATCTTCTATTCTGGATAGGTAACACTCAGCACACTGGAGCTTTCTTGGGTAAAGCTAATAAATCGGAATAGTGAAAGATATTCATAGGTAACGAAAAGGAAGCATTTAATAATTGTTGTGCTTCTCAAAAGGTGGTTGACATGGAGAAGCAGTAAGCCCTGGAGCACTGTGCAATTAGTTCCTTGTTTTCTTTAGCTTTCTGTTATTCAGCTTGTTCTGGGATAGAGAATTGTTCTGAAGTTCTTTTTTGCTCAGTTTTCATCAAATGCATGCATGATTTTGACACATTACTACTGCTGTTGATCATCACCAGAGCGCTGACCTGTTTATTTTGCTGTGTGCAGCATAAGGTCAGATTGTATTGTGTGGGCTGTTTCTTTAAGGTATAGAATTGTTTGTTTTAGCACTTGAGGAGAGAAGGAAAGAGCTGTTGCACTTAGGGCTCTGCCTATGCTAGTCAGAGGCTCAGCAAGGTTAAAAGCAGTTAGTGGCTTATTTGGTTGTCCTTAGAGTGAGGGCAACAGATCTCAGTGGGAGGCAGCATTCTTTCACTCTGCTCCAATCACATTTCCAGTACAGAAAGGAATTGGATATATTATCACAGGTTGCTGGCAGTCTTTGGGAAAATTACGGTAGTTGTAAGTGATAGTATCTGCATTGCTTCTGTGATAGGATACTAATGAAAATCTATTTTGCAAAGCTTTATGAAATGAATAAAAAAAGTTACTTTCTTGTTCTAACTATCTATTTATAAACAAAGAAAATACAGTTTAAAGTTAGTTTCCTAGTCTGTTCACAACAAAGCAGATTTGTTTAGTTTTTTCTGTTTTTGTCAAAACTCTGAGAATTCAACCACTGTAATATCTTGATTCCAGTGCTAGAACTAAAATTTTTGGTACTAGCAGTTTGACTCACAAAAAACCTCAATTCAGATCATGTTTTGTGTATGTGTCTAGATGAATGTACTTGTGGAGAGAATGGAAGAGACTGTTTTCCTTCATAATTTTGATTGTGATTTTCTGCCTGGAATTTGTACGTTTAGCAAAATTTCGTTTTTTTTTAAATAGTGTTTAGAATGTTAATGGTGGGCTTGTGGAAGCGTTAGTCTGACTGGAAGGAAAAATGTGAATTTCTTTAAACCTTTTATACAATGAGAACTCAAGATTTGCACAGAATCAATTTTCCTTTTGACATCTGTCTTGTAAATGTGCAAGGCAAGCACAAAGCAGTGCTGCTAGCTAGTATTCTTGTTATGGATGTATTACTGATTCAGTCCAAGACTGACTGGGTCTCTTCTTTTTTGCTTGGGTGTTAGGGGGAGAGTGTGTAAATATATCCAAATACCATTCCTGTGAACTCTATAAGCTGTTGCTAAATACTGATTGTAGAGATTGTCTTGTCATATGTGGGATATTGTCATAAACTTAAATTTCTGTGGCTTGCTTACACTAGTGCAAGCTTCATTGTGGAGTTCTAGTTCTGTTCTACCTTTCATCAAATGCTACACCAGATCTATTCTTGCTCAGAAACACTAAAATCGCTATATGAATTCTACAGGAACTTTTAAGGTATAAACTACTCATTCTTGTAGAATTAATAACATAAGTTGAAGGGTTGTCTTGCATATCTGAATGAAGTAGACATTCTCCGGTTCTAAATGTTGAACTTATGGCTTTCTAAGTAAATGGACACTATTTTTGAGAAAGATAGACTTTTCTCTCCAGCTGTAAATGGTGTTTTTGCCTAAAGATGTTCATAGAAATCTTCACTGTATTATTATTTTTGCTATTCTGTGTGAAAGGATATAGAAAAAAATTACATATTTCATTTGCTGCTTGTAGTGTAAGAGAAAAGCAGTTAGAAAGAACTGTCTTTCAAATGGAGATTATGTAATATAAAAGGATATGGTAACCAGACACATCACATTTTTTCTCTCTTTATCTAATTGTGCTCTTCCTGTTTGCTTTGAACTTGTAGAAATGCATTATGATACTCCTAGGCTCCTCTCATGAATCACCAATACCTGATATTCCTCGTGAAGTCTACCTCTCTCTCACACTCTCTCTCATTGGCAGCATAAGTTGGAGGGCTAACTCAAAATAGGTTTTCTTGAACAGCTTTTTCCTCAGGGGGTGATTCTTACTGTAAAATTTACTGCTCAGCAGGTAGCCATAATTCTACAAAAGCTTGTAGGTGTAACTGTATGGGATAAAAATTTCTACCAGGTACGGCTGTATTGAGAACTTGACATTTGAAATGGAATTGGAATTGAAATGAAAACTGACTTTGCATAATGGAATTTTTAAAGTGCTAAAATGGATTACTCTGCTCAGAAAAAAAAAAGTTTATTAACATATTTATAATTTTTTACTTAATTTTAATCTTTGTGCTCTTTCCTAAGATATCACGTGTTTACACACTAATTTCTTACATGTTGGATGGTGAGGGTAGAAAATAAGTAGTCCATTTCAGCTGAAAATAAAGTGACTTAACTTCCAGTGGAGCATGGGAAAATATGAAGAAGTAGAAAGGCAGCATCCCAATCAGAAGTAGGAAGGATATAGTATTTTTTTCCTTTAAGATGAAATAAATTATTCAGGAATCCAGTTCTGTCGCCCTTAAGTCATTTCAGAAGTTTGCTTGGCAAATGTTAGCAGGAGCTGACCTAACATCTTAGTGAACAAGTAAAAAAGGAAGATTTTTACAGATCCTCCCCACACCTTTAGCACACTGTTATCTCATTATTTATATCACTTGTTTAAGGTGTTGGGAAGAAAGCAGTGTTTTTGCACAGAGACAAATTATGTATATATTTATTTACTGTATATATATGTGTGTATATATAGTATATATAGCTATATATAGTGTGTATATATATATTTGTGTTACACAGCAGTTACTTTTTCTTGTATAAAAATCCATGCTTCACCTATGACATAACTGCACAGACTTCAGCTTGTCAGGGGGAAGGAGCAAAACAGTTAATTTTTTGTGATTTTATTCTTACTTTCCACAGTGTGAGTAGGGAGCAGCGATTTTTATTTTTCTCTTCTGTTTCAAATAAATACATTACTTGGAGAAGGAACTTCTGAAATACTCCAAGTGAGTAATTGTGGAGAAAAGGTTAGACAAGTTACTAGGTGACAATTAAATGATTTGTCCCAGTGAAACATGCTTCTGTAGCAAAAGGGAAGTGTCTATAGCAGAGGAAAAGTTTGTGCTAGGTCAGCTGAGAAAAAATATGATGGCTTTTTCTTGAACCTACATTTGTGTGAAGGCTTTTGGAGAAGATGTTTAAAAAAACTTGACTGATGTTAAAAAAAAAAAAGTGGTATGTAATCTATGTAATACTTGTGGAAAATATAAATTTATCTTTAGTATAAACTTAGGGACTCTATTATGTACTTGTTGCGATTTCTAAGGATGTATGCAGTATCCATGCATTATCCACATTTACATACAGAAACTACATTTTTGGAATAAGATTACACACATACATCTGTGTTTAAAGGAAACCACTTAATTCTGCATATCATAAAACATGAGGCACTGATTGCAGGAACTCAATTTTTAGTGATACATTTATCTTTTGCTGACAGCTATTCTAGAGGGAACCACGACGTTTTTGAAATGCAAATTAATTGTTGATGAGTGTTTTCTCATAGATTGGAATGCTTCAAGTCAAATAACTTACTGGATTATAATCAGTCTCCAGAAATCCAGTGCAGCTGAATCAGTTCTGTAGATCAAGAGAAGTTATGAAAGCAGGACCTTAAGTTTTTATGGGTTACTCCATTAACTGTGTTCCATTATCTGATCCTAAAGAAGTAAATCAAGCTAGTAAATGACTTAAGAAAAGAATAAAATTTAAAAAAAAAAAATGATGCTAAAGGTCGAAGTAAGGATTTTATTCTTGTGTTCAAGGTGTATCACAGAAATAAGTATTTTGAATTTCATTTCCAAAACATTGACTTCATTGTCTAAGGTTTTTGATACGATCTTAAAAGACCCTTCTCTCTATCAGAAGTTTAAAAATGACGTAAAATTTTAGCTGAGTTCTAGTAATGCATAGAACTTACAAGAAAATATTACTTCATGGAAAAATTCTCCTGTGTTTTAAATACTACAAAGCTATAGGGGTAAAAAACAAGATCAAAAGTCTGGCTGTTCTTTCAGTGTGTTTCTGTGGTCAAGTTATTCAGACAGTTAATTTTCAGCACAAGCTAATTAAAGCTTTGCCACAGTTTATGTAACTTTTCATGCTAACACATTGTA